AACTACGCATTTCGGGCCATGTAGGCAAATGGCATTTCATATGTATTTATTCGGAAAACGTAGCCACGTACATACATTATTCCGAGGGGTGCGAACATTTGCTACGTTAAATAAAATGCTTGGTTCCTCATGAAAAAAAACTAAACTAAAAAATGTCTGCCTTGACAATTTTGTACGGTTTAGCAAAGATGACAACTGATTTCCCAGTTTTTTGATGTTTCACCAAAACTTATTGAGTATGGGAAATTATTACCCTGCACAATTCAGACATGTTTCTCACCGATCTTATTATGTAAAACCAGCAGAAGGAAAATCAAGTAACTAAACCAAAACAAGTTATTGTGGGGTTTGAGCATTCCACGGGGCTAGGAAGATATTCAGGCCCATTTCCGGATGACATGACCCAATGGCATTCGATATTGAGTGAAATTTAATAGGCCCTGAGATACATATCTTAAATCGTCAGGTAAAAAATCTCATTTCCCCAGCCAGTTCGCTTTTCGAAACTTTTTACGTGGCAAATTAAGATAAGGCAAATTAAGACATTTTTACCTGACGATTTACATAAGATATGTAATCTCAGGACGCATTAAATTTTACCCGATGTCGAATGCCCGTGGGGAACATTGTCCCCAACCTTTCGCAGCCACTGAGCATGCTTACGTAGATATATAACTAATTAAGTTTTCTTAAACTTTTAGGCGACTTGTTATTGCCAAATTTCTGAAGGGAGACACTATCTACATGACAATAATGTCACTCTAACCTTCATTTTCATGCATAAATTATAAGCGCGTGGGCGCACAAATCGACCAATGGATTTCTTGAGAATTAATTAAGCGTGCCTAATCTAAGTTTGTAGGTACATGTCTCCTCGGCATATTTACATGCACACTAAAAAATACATATGTTCTGTACATCAATTCTAGTATTTTATGTACACAAACGCATTTCTACGCTTCTTCGTTTTCTGTTTTCCTAGTACACACATCTCTATGAGTCAATACATATGTGCATTCTAATCCAAAGGTCGATATGGATATATTTTGAGCGGGACGGAGGCGCCAATTTTGATAATTCTTCAGCGACTTTGCCAGCATCCTAGTATTGAAGAAATACAAAATCAGATTGATAGGCCGCGGAGTGCGACGACCGTTGGTTTATCTAGAGCTTAATTATGGTGGTTATGTGGACTTTGTGCAGTACTTTATCAGCTAGTGATATGTACCATTTTTTAGAAATCTTCCCCGGTTTAGATAGTCACGTTTGCCGTTTTTCTGTTGTGGTGGCGTTCATTTCTTCTTGGAAAAACAAAATTAATTTGGGGACCTTATTTAAGTACTAGCAGCTTATTTTATTTCGTTTATTTTATGCTTATTTTATAGAGTTTCGAATTTCTTAAATTAAGTTACAAGTTTTATAATGTTATAGTTTGACTCAATTATTATAGTTTTTCCAACATGTTTGTAGGAAGTAATAATAAGTACGCAATAATAAGCAACACACCATGAGGTATGTGATATCCATGAGACATACATATATGTGAATAAGCAGTAACACGTATTTTTTTGAGTGTGCACGGAAGCATTGATTGTTACACAAATCAAACTGTGGAAATCCTGCCGCTGATTAAGGGATGCTAATCAGGTCATCTTTCCAGCCTATATCAGGCCGTTTCCCTCTGCTTAAGTTTCCCAATCTCAATTCTACCCTGCTCCTTACACTATTACTATACCCTTACAAAGTTTAATATTCCCTCGTCTCCTAAACCTCTCCCACTGTCATGTATTCCACCCACTTTCTCCCCTTGTTAATTCGCCATTTTAAATTCGCCCGACTAATTGGAAGTGACCCGTACGAATTTGACTCTAAATCCAAGAAGCTAATCGTCATGAAATCCAAGCGACGAGTACGCGTCTCCCAAATGAATTCTCTCCTTACGGTGACGTACTTTCTGGTCCTGCTGTATAATTTCTTCTTCGGTCACTTGACCCTCGCTGAAAGGTTGCAAGGTGTCCCGTTCCTGATTTCTTACGGGGTAATGGTCTTCATTGGGTGGAATGTGGGTCTGGACATCGCCCCGATACAAGTGATCAACTCGATCCTCAACTTTGAAAAAGTTGTTATTCAAGGTATTTACCCTTAAAAATAATGTCATTCTTTTGAAATGTCATAAATGCATAGTGAATTCACATACCTTCAAGACACCTAGAATTATGTTTCGATGGGCAAACTTCGCAATTTCTAATTTTGCGCCATTTCCAGAGCGTGAAAGTGTCAATGCGTCCATCGAAGCAATGGTGATGTCCTTATTTGTCTGCGTGTCAGAAATAACCGTACTCCTTGTGCCTGTCGCCGTGATCTTACTATTGCTCGTGAACCCTTGCACGCCTCCCTTCGTTCTTTCGATGTCTCATAACTGCAATGAAATCTCATGGATGCGCCCCGGATCCGAGATTTTCATTGTCTTATTCGAAGCATGGATGGGTCTACAATTGTTCAGTGGTGGAACGGGATGGCTAATGTACATCCTTTTCTCCAGGATTGTAGTAGTTCTCGACTATTTTCAACTTCTGAGAAGGTTAGAAATCTGAAATTAATTATTACCAAATGGCGGAAATGCATTTATTTACGCTGGACGACCGATGGTTAGACTTGATGGGTGGGTGGGTTCCCCAAATTTCATGTATAACGAATTCTTCGAAACATGTTTTCCCATTGTACCATATTTCAACGGTTGCATATATGTACATGTTTCCGCTGTTGCTTAACAATATATTAAAGAGTAAAGATATTTTCTTCCGAATGTTTTCTGCCCAAAGAAATTCGACTATAAAAAATCCAGAATATTTATACATACATACATATTCGGGGAAGTACAAATTTTGCAGAAAATTAAAAAGACGTGAATTGACAGATCGTATGGATGACATTGTGTAGTGGTTTATTGAAACACAAGCTTTCGGAAAACAACCGTTTCCTTCTTCAGGTGGCCAGAAATAATTACAATAATTATTTATACTTGACCTTTGCTAAAATTTTGGCTTTTGGTTTTCCTTCATATAATTTCGTTCTTTCCACTGTATTTACACATATCTGCAATTTTTAGAAAATCTATATCCGCCCTCTGGTTATTAGAGACCTAACCAGGGTCTACTAAACTGTATTGCACGTGGACAAGGGTAATTGCCTACTTTTAAAATAGCATATTCTCTCAGGTTCCCTAAAGCAGTTAAAAATAAATACATTCAGTGCATACCAGTACTTCCCTGTATCATTTTGTGTAACTACATAAATACATATACATAAATAGAGTCATCAAATATGCAGATAATAAAATTAAACTTTGGATTTGACGAAATATCTACCTATAGATTTGATAATGAATATTTTGTGATATGATATCGACCATGATGAGCAGTAGCTAAAATAAGTTTTGTTATACATGTACATACATTCATATATTATTGAATAATTTACTAATTAATCAAACAAGCGGCATATATTAATTTTTAGACGGAAATGATTTATTAATTTGTTTTTGTGTTTTGGAATTAATGAATGAATAATTTAATGACACATAGATGGTTGGGTGCCCTAATTAAACTGATGCATACATAGAGATCCCGCCCGTACTATATAGTGGCGATGGAGAACTTTGACCTAAAAATGGTGAAAAAATGATTGTAGAAATCTCAAATTTTGGGATATCCTAAATATATCCAGCCACAGATATTCGCGAACAAAGAAGACTGAAGTCCATTGTCCATCTAGTATTTAACCTTTTTCTTCACGCCCGCCATTACTGCTTTTTCGGAAGACTTTGCAACTTAAAGGGTACTTATCTCCTACCTGAATTGAAATTTTCTTAAAGTTTCGGCTGTTTCACAAAGCTGGGAGTATGTCTTCTTATATATACCCCAAATTTTTTTATTGCGTCAAGATAAGGGTGGAATGTGAGGTTTTCATTTTTCAGCGTCAAACTGAAGTTTTTTTCAATTTCTTCCTTGATAGTCATTGCATTATGGATTGGTCCAATGTCGGTCCAAAAAACTACATTTTATATTTTCTGATACTCCTTGATGAAAGGAGTCAGACGGTCTATCTCACATTTCCGAAAACAAACGTGTGCCTCCACACAGCCATTTTGAACCGAGGGGTCCGAAACATGCACAAATTTACCCAACACCTGCCAAACATGAAATTTCTTGAGAAATTTCGAAGAACATTTTAATTTCTTTTCGGTTTTCAGTTGAGAGATATATTTCCCACAAAAAAATTGCCTTCCCGGAGTTTCTGTCACGTTTTTGAAGACGTGAGACTCGTCGCCAATGACCAACTATTTTAGTGAAATTTTGTTGTAAGGCTTGGGAGGGCTTGCGTTCACCATTTGTTTTTACCTTCCGTATGCTTTGCTGCAGATTTCTTTGAATACGCTTTGACCCACAACTTATGAGCCTTCATATGATGCGCATAGTTTGGATTAATCTTCGACTTCGTGGCTGCATCAGGCACAAACGTGGAGCGGTACTTTCCAAAAATAAATTTAATCGTTTTTTATTTTCAAGAGGTCAATATGATGGTTTTTCTTGTGGTGCGTATTTGAAGTTGATATTTTCGGATTCGCCATACTTTTTTATGTATGTCCTTATTTTTTCACGACCACACCTCTCTCCGTTGAAATGTAGTCAGGCCTTCTTCGAGTCGCTGTCGCTCACATTTTAGTACTTATAAAAAATTCGTTTCCCGACTTTCTCTCTTTGAAATGGCGTAGGAAATTTATTTTTCAAGGAAAGCTTATGAAATTTTGAGGACACGTGGTCAGATATATTTGATATATTATACCAAAATTTGAGATTTCAAGAATCATTTTTTGACCATTTTTAGGTCAAAGTTCCCCATCGCCACTATATGGTACGGGATCTCTAATTAGAACAGTATTAAGTCGTGACCTTCGCGAAGTAAATGCTAAATATTGCTTCTTATTTATGAACACAAAATTAAGAATTGGTTTGACTTTGATACTGGTTTTAATTTATTTTCACAAATGTAATTTTACGTTTTATGATAGATAAAGAGAAGACCCTTCCAAGTGGAAATCTTCTTGTGGTCAACCCTTTTTAAGTTGAAGGTGCACTTACCAAAGGGTGTAACCTCCGTCAATAATGATGTCCGAACCCGTTGTGAAACTGGAGAGACTGGACGCCAAGTAGATCACGGCCCCCGTCATCTCTTCGACATCTCCCAATCGTCCCATCGGGGTATCTTTGACCCATTGGGTACGAAATGGTAGATACTTTTCTGTCCGGATTAAATCCGTGTCAACGTATCCACTAAAATTAAAATTATAGAATTTAATTATCACTTTCTGATTTACAAAAAAATTGAAACTTGAAGGCAATCTTAATCGGTTCCCAAATGAAAATATTTAAACTTTGTTTTGAACGGTGGGGCAGATTTTATGAATTAATGCATTTCATAATACTGTTAGAAATTTTCCACTGCTTAGTATTAAAATTATACCGGGCTGTAAAAATTTACCCGCGATATGGTAAAACTTTGGTACCGAGAGATTACTTATCAATACCAGTCTGCTAGAGTACCGCCTGGTATTACTATAATGTTGGACTTAAGAAAGAAATTTTTAACTTCTAAAAATTTTTGAATATTTTGCGCACCATTCTTATATAACTTGATACTTGGAGGTTTCTTTTAAACAAATTGGCATAAATTTGCAAATTTGTCAGAATTTTCTGACACGTATTTACAAAACTTACGGTGAAATGCAGTTAACCGTCACTCCCCGCCCGGCCCATTCCGCTGCAAGAGACTTGGTCATATGGATGACCCCCGCTTTTGACGTATTGTACACCGATTGTCGATTCGGCCTCGTCACGATGCTCCCGATAATCGAGGCCGTATTGATAATGCGACCGTACCCTTTCTCCAGCATGTGCTTCCCTTCGACTTGGCAGCAATGGAAGGTGCCCTTAAGGTCCACCCCGAATATGGAGTCCCATTCGGCTTCCTCTGTAAACTCGGCGTCGGATTGGGAAGAAATTGCGGCATTGTTGCAGGCAATGTGAAGTTGGCCAAATTTCTCGAGCGTGATCCGCATCATTTCGTCCACATCGGATTTCTGGGAAATGTCGACTTTCACGGCGAGGTTTGGAATTCCTTTAGCGCCAAGTTCAGCCGCCACGTGGGTCGCGGTAGTTTGATTGATGTCCGCCACGACGACTGAGCAGCCCGCCTCGCCGAGAGCGTGGGCGAGGGATCGGCCGATTCCTGACAAATTCATTTTTATAGGAATAATTAAATTAATAAATAATTAACCCTAAATTTCGGGTAGTAGATACATCAAGAAACAATTAAAATTAATACCTAAAGGTCTTCTTAAATTAGTGATAATATATGTGGCACTAATGCTCACAATCTTGTCAAAATGTGTAAATATTTCAAATGCATATGTATTTCTACCAAATCAAGTCACCACTGAGTTCTCTCAGTACATGTTCACCAATTTTGACGTTTATGTCAATCAATCCCAAATTTAATTACGATGACAGTTGCAAAAGACACATCTCTGAGGTTTGGCAGAGATATTTGCAAAGAGGAGAAAACGTACAGTAAACTAAATTTCATAAGTACGACTTTAGGGCAAGTTTTCTCCTCTTAGATGCAAATATAAACACTACCATCGAGATCCTATCTTTGGGGAATTTGATATATTTATAATTTATTGTGAGATCCATTGACACTAATTTGGTTAAAATCGGAGAGCATACATACAGTTGGATATTTGTTTTTCATTTTTCTAAATCTCGTTATGTTGTCAAACCTAGGTATATATGTATAATGATTAAATACCTTGTCCACTTCCGGTGACCAGAGCGACCTGTCCGTCCAATCGGAATTTGGATAAAACTCCATTCGAGTAAAGATCCTCGGTATTTTTCCTTTTAAGCAACAATTCTTGTATTTGCTTCAACTCGGCTTCCACCGTACTTGGCGCTTTATCCAGCGCAGATTGTACCAATTTTTGTATCTCGTCGTCCATGTCAAAGTAGATTAATTGAAAATTAAATGAGACCAATAAATTAAGGGTAAGTTATTAAGTAAGAAGAAATCACTTATATATTTCCTATCCTCTGCTTATAAATTGAATTGACGGCCAGTCGATGCCCAAGGACAACTGAGAGACAATTAACACCAACATATATGCATAGTACGGTAGTCACAAAGGAATCATTTTTTGCGAAGGGGTCGTGCATAAATCATGTTGAAATCAAGTTGGATTTGGTTGAACAATTGAGGTAGTTATATTCATGTATGTACTTATGTAGATTTATTCGTTTAAATAGATCTATTAAAATATAGTGCACCAACATGCTTAATGTACGGCCTCCTAACCGAACAAAAGTTGATATCACACGAGTCATTGCACGTGTATCAACTGGTGAAAATCAAATGCAATATGCATACATCTTATGAAGTGTGATGATCATTCTGGTAGGCAAGGCAAAATATCTTTGTTTGGTATATTTAGGAGTATATCTTTGTATGTTTGCGATGTAAATACATACCTTATTTGCATAGCGTTCAATTTTTTTTTTAGATTTGCATTTTTAAATAAGGTTAACCTTATTTACTAATTACTAAATTAATATTGAGGGTAATTACTATATATTTCTAAATTGAATTTGCGAGAACTTCCCCGGATATACATACATATATAGAGAGAATAGCACTATTTTCATACACTTGTATGAAAATATGTACTTAATCAGTTTTTACTGCAATGAATAGAATAAACATTTGCATAGTTTCGAAGTTTTTCATAGTTTTTATTACTTATCCTGAGTTTCATAATAAAATAGTTTAATAAACTTAAACAGTTAAACAGATCAGCATTTGTAATCTTTTTCAGAACAAATCCGAACAAGCACATATTGCAACATTATAGAGTAAGAAAATATTTAAAATCATATACATAGACTAACGCCTGCTCAGATAATGTTGGTGAAAGTTAATTCATGTCGTTGCCAGGAATTAAATGACTCGATGTTTTGCACAGCTGGAGCAGTTTTTCTGGGTCTCTACAGATTATGCATTATTTCAAAAAATAGGAAAGTTGTACTTAAATTTCGTCCAAAACTGAACACGATTATTCCGATTATAAAACTCACCTTTTCATAAAGTTCTCAATCCTCGCCTTCGCACCGGTCATACCGTGCAATTCGGTGAGTTTCAACAGTTCGGTGCAATTTTCCCAAGAGACGAGTGTCGTAAGAAACTTGTCACAAATATCGGTCAAGGATGTGATTTGATACTAAAAATAAAAAACATGATACATTTAAGTATTCACAATTGTGTTGGCACCCTCATGCAGTATCGTAAAACGTGTAATTTTCGAGGACAAAATTAAGGGTCCAACATCGTACAACGCGTAATTTACAATTCGTAAACGCGTAATTCTGCTGAGAAAATTTTACTTCAGTTGCGAAATATCATAACCGCCGTAACTTATTTTTTACGATATGAAGGATCTGTTCAAGTACATGAGGAAAATTTTTCGATACGGTTGCTACAGGGCTGAGGATTTAAATTAAATCCTCAGCCCTGTAATGCCCTGTAAAGCCCTGTAACAAAAAATGAAGGCTAAATCCAGCTCATGATTATATCATTTAATCATTTTTTGTTATCCATCGGCGAGAAATTATTACCACACGGTAAAGTTGCATAATATGTACATATAAAGGCAATTATCATTCAAAAGATTATTTACTCTGTACCCACCTTGTCTGCCGCATTGACAATTTCGCTGTAAAACTGGCCCCATTTGTCATCCAGTTCCCCAGTGTAGACGAACTTGGCAACTTTTTTTCCAACATGGCAAGAGCGACCTCCTTGTAACCCGGGGCACTTTGACCTTGCTCCCTTCTCACCTCCAGAAAAGTTGGTGGCAAATCCACATCCGAAATGGCGAATCTATGCTTCCCAAAAATCTCGAATTGGATCAACATCGTTAACGGGGGGTTTCCGGTGTGATGAAAAATTGAGGCGAGTGTCAAATTAGATAATCTAAAAGTCCTAAAATTGCATTTCAGTTGTTCCATGCTGGCCGCTGTGAATTTATGGAATCCCACATCTGCCAGAATAAATTATATAAAATAAATAATTGTACAAAATTAAATATGTTGTCTCATTTCTTCCCAAAAAACTGTTTGGGGCCGTACATAAAGCATGTAGGCGATTCTCGGAGAGTTTTGATCCCTACCCCCCGATGAGGAACTATCCTTCCCATGTTATACTTAACATGGGAAAGATATAGAATGCCTTGACCCCCCTCCCTCAAATCGATCACATGCGTTCAGCACAGTCCCTCTTAATATTTTGTTTTTTGCCCTTACAAAATGCATATCTGTAATTATTCCCACCCAAAATGGCAACTCTTAGGGTGACGGGAAGCTCATTCGACCCTCGATATTCCACCAGTTGAAAAAATAATGTGACGGATGAGTTCTCATTGTCGGAGTCCGGGGCGAGGAAAAATTTCCATTTAGAGACCCTGTCGATGGTGGCGCCGACCGTGAAGGGGAGCACGTGCATGTCCTTCAAATTCGGATTGGTGGCGAGGACCTGGAGATTTTCAATGTTCCAGGTAAATTTCTTGATCTCGCTGTCCACCTGAGAAATGAGGAATAAATAAGTCAAATATCAAGCAGCGCCATAAAATTGAGCGAGGTCACCCACGTGGGATTTGGCGATCAGGGACATGGTGGTACTCTTGAAGGTACAAACTTTTATAAAAAGATGGTTTACACTTTAATGATAGATATTCAAATTAGGCAAAATTAATGGATTATTAAATATGAAATGTATAAATGTAATTATCTGTAAGAAGTGTGATGTTGAGTTGTAAATTATAATAGGTAAACTACTTCATAAATATTTACGCAAATTGTGTTTCGCAAATACACTTAAACATTGATTTGATCAACCCGGATAAAAAACTACGACGTGTTTAATCCTGTTCCTGCCAAGACTTTAACTGATCAGGGTTAAACTTTGCATGAAAATGCCATGAATAAGGAGCACACCCGCAAAGAGAGTAAGAGGACAAATATATACGCCCACAAGGGGGAGCTATTTCATATGAGGGAAGTAGAATGTAGTAGAGAATCTAACACGACCTGTAGAATAACTAATGTTAAAGGGAAGCGGCATCGCCCAGTAAGTATATTTACTTAAGTATATTTATTAGCATGCATTTTTATATGCGTGCTAGAAATCTGCTGGCCAACTTGGCCTGGCCAACTGGCCGATATCTGTAATAGAATTTTTTAAAGTCTACGTAACGACAGTGCATCAATTCCACGGCAATGGAATCGATGCTGCTGAGGGGCTGTACACAAAGCATGTGGTATATTTTCGGAGATTTTTTTTGCCCCACCCCCTGGTCTAAACTATGCTCCCCATGTTATAATTATTATAGGAAGGATGACCCTTACCCTCTTCCATCCGTCAAATCGATCACACGGTTTGTGTAGTTCCTAAGTCGTTTTGCCAACTCTCTTTAGTCAGCAAATCTCTTTTTTATTGCTCTTTGATACGCAAAGTGGTCATTAAGCTGAACTGATCCAGAAATAATGTAAACAAATGACGCCCAACCTACTCACTAATACGTCACGATATGAGAAAAGATGATTATTAAGAATTGTTGTATGCACACTCTTAGAAATCCAGGGTTGCAATTATGTATACCAGTCCTAAAGCCGTGTTCAAACTTAGGTATGTCTGTATATGAATCAAAAAAGCCGCGCTATAAAATTCACTCACGTAGGACTTGGCGATCAGGGCATGACGACGGTACAATTGAAGGCACACACTTTCTTGAATAGTTTACACTGACAGTTTCAAATTAGTAAAATTTTATATGGATTGTTTAATATTAAATGTTCATGTGTACATAAATCTGTAGGTGAGAATAATTATATGGAAGTACAAATTATAATTTTAAATGGATAAATTACTTTATTTGTAGTTCATTTATGGTTCGAAAAGCTATGTACATATGCACGTGAACGTGGGTGTGATGAACCGGATAATAAAAATCACGCCGTGTTTAATCTTGTTCCTGTGAAGACCTTAATTGTTTCATGAACATTTCAATGATATGAATAACGAGCTGATGACAGCGCAATTAGCACTGCCACGTGTCATCATCATCAGTGGTGTCTATAGTTTTACACACGATACATGATTTACATTTACATAAATGATTTATATTTACATATCTATATTATAATTTCGAAAAGTCCGTCCCGTCAAATTTTCCGTGACATTCCTGCATTCTGATTGGTTGCCGGCTTCCTGGTTCCACCAATCACAGCACGGATATGATTTAGGTTATGATTTCGGTTATGATTTGGGTTATGATTTGGGTTATGATTTCGGTTATGATTTAGGTTATGATTTAGGTTATGATTTCGGTTTTGATTTGGGTTACGATTTGGGTTATGATTTGGGTTATGATTTGGGTTATGATTTGGGTTATGATTTAGGTTATGATTTCGGTTATGATTTGGGTTATGATTTGGGTTATGATTTAGGTTATGATTTGGGTTATGATTTGGGTTATGAATTGGGTTATGATTTCTGTTATGATTTGGGCTACGATTTAGGTTATGATTTGGGTTATCATTTCGGTTATAATTTCGGTTATGATTTGGGCTATGATTTAGGTTATGATTTGGGTTATGATTTGGGTTATGATTTGGGTTATGATTTGGGTTATGATTTGGGTTATGATTTGGGCTATCATTTGGGTTATAATTTGGGTTATCATTTCGGTTATGATTTCGGTTATGATTTCGGTTATGATTCCGGTTATGATTTCGGTTATGGTTTCTGTAATCATTTGGGTTATCATTTCGGTTATGATTTGGGCTATGATTTAGGTTATGATTTCGGTTATGATTTCTGTTATGATTTGGGCTATGATTTAGGTTATGATTTCGGTTTTGATTTCGGTTACGATTTGGGTTATGATTTGGGTTATGATTTGGGTTATGATTTGGGTTATGATTTGGGTTATGATTTGGGTTATGATTTGGGTTATGATTTCTGTTATGATTTGGGCTATGATTTAGGTTATGATTTGGGTTATGATTTGGGTTATGATTTGGGTTAT